GAATCTTTAATAAAATAGAAGACTTTTAAGAATTACTGAAGAAATACCAGAGCTAAATAGAAAATCTGATGTTCAAATACAAGACTCAAGAGAAAAATACAAACGTAAACATGAAAGAGTAATTATAAAGGACTCAATAAAATTAAACTTTTTATATTCCCTATTGGAAGATGATGCATATAACTCCTAAGAACTTTATCATTATCAGGGCTGTTAAAATGAGTTTACATAGACAGTGGGAATGGATGTGAGTCAATTATGTTGGAATGATTTTTAAAAAAAAGATTTCAGAAAGATGTACTGGGAGTTGGAAGAGGTAGATTGGGGAAATTTTTTCTCACATAAAGGAGGTGCTCCAGGAAGAACTTTTACAATACAGGAGGAAATGGGGGTAGGATGGCAGGCAAAGTTTGAAGCTCACTCTTGTTGGAATTTATTCAAAGAGAGAAGAATACATATACACACTCAGTTATGTATAGAAATGTAACTTGCCCAATAATACAATAGGAGAGAAAGGGGATAAGAGAAAGGAGGAGGAGGATAAAAATGGAGGGTAGATTAAGGGATGCAGTGGTTAGAAGCAAAATAGACTTTTGAAGAGAGACAGGATAAAAAGAGAGACAGAGAGAGAAGAAACAGAACATAACTGGATGAAGGGAAATACATAGTTAGTAATTATATCTATGAATGTGAATGTGATGAACTCACCCATAAAATGGAAGCAGAAAACAGAATGGATTAGAAAACAAGAATCCAACAATATGGTGTTTACAAGAGACTTGTAACAGAATAACACACACAGTCAAAATAAAGGGCTGGAGCAGAATCTAATATACTTCATATAAAGTGAAAAAGACAGGGGTAGCAAACATGATCTCAGACAATACAAAGGCAAAAATGGACCAAATTAAAATAGATAATCGGGTAAACTGCATTTTGCTAAGAGATATTAGAGACATTGAAGTAATGCCAAAAATTTATACAAAACATATTTTCTGATACACACCTCAAACATATATACTGAGTATAGAACTGAGTCAAATTTATAAAACAGCCGCTATCCAATTGATAAATATCCAAAGGATATAAACAGACTTTATATTTAGAAATCAAAGCTAATTATAATCATATGAAAAATAGTTCTGAATCACTATTGATTTATTAATGCAAATTAAAACAGCTCTGTCATTTTTATCAGAAATGACAAAGGCTGCAGTAGATGAATGAAATTAGGTACACTTATGAACTGCTTATGGAGTCACGAACTGGTCCAACCATTCCGGAGAAAAATTTGGAACAACGCTCAAAAAGCTATAAAATTGTGCATATCTTTTCACCCAGTAATAACACCACTAGATCTGTATTCTTCAGAGATCAAAGAAAAAAGAAAATGATGTATGTGTACAAAAATATTGATAGCAGCTCTTTTTTGTGGTGGCAAAGAATTAGAAATCTAGGGAATGCTCATCAATTGGGAAATGGTTGAAAAAGTTATGGCATATGATGGTGATGGAGTACTACTGTGCTATAAAAAACAATGAAGGAAGTGGTTTCTGAAAAAAAAAAAAAGGGAAACACCTGAGTGAGGCAAAGTGAAGTGAGAAGAACTGGAAGATCATTATGTACAGTAACAGCAATGTTGTAATGATGATCAATTGTGAAAGATTTGGCTACTATGATTAATACAATGATCCAAGATAATTCCAAAGGACTAATGATGAAAAAAAAAATGCTATCTACCTCCAGAGAGAAAACTGATGAACTCTGAGTGTGAATTGAAGTATAATTTTCCGTATTTTCTTGCTTTTTTAAAAACATGGCTAATATGGACATTTATTTTACACGATTTCACATGAATAATTGACACCATATTGCTTGCCTTCTCAGTGAATGGAGAAGGATGAGAGAGGTAGAGAATTTGAAACTCAAAATTTGAAAAGATAATAATCTTTATAATATAAAAAAACTTTCCTTTAAAAAGCCACCTTAAAAGAAACAATACAATTCATCAAATATGCTCTTAAGCATGATTCATATTTTTCCTATTCCTAGGCACATGTTCTTTAAAAGATTTTCAGAAGAGTTTAGCACTCTGTTTTTAGCATACATTTTGCATGCAACCAGTTAGTTAGCTAGATGCACTAGGGGGAATGAAAAGACTCAAGTTGTGGCTCTTTATGTGTATGCATGTATGCATGCATTTAATGAACATATTCATAAACTAAAATACACACATTAAAATGGAGATGGTGCATATCCAGAGCAAGATGGCAAATTAAATGAAGTGTCCTCTTAATTCAAATGAAGGTCATTTATTATAAACAAGTGACTATAAGATATACCTTATTGGTTATGCCAAGGTCAATTGTCCAGCCTACCTTGCTTAGGCATGATTGAGTATTTTGTGGCAAGATAGGGAAGGTGTTTTCAAAACTACAGTCATTCTGGACTTCTTTTTTGCTCCTTTCAAATCTGTGAACTTTTAACTTTCCTAAGCCCCATGAATTAGATCACAAGATGAATTAAACCCATTTTTATCCATCTAATGACAGCTTAAAGTAATAGCTAGAAGATATCAACAAATTTTTGAGTATAAGAAGATCTAACTAGGTGACAACCAGAAGATACTACTGTACTGTGATATTCTTATTGAATTGAATATTCAGAAATTTGAAAGTGTTTGCAATAAATCAATTTCATAGCTTACGTATAATTTCTTAGACTTCTCTTAAAAAGAATAAACAATGTGGTCTCCTAGTATAAATATCATCTCACTATCAATTGGTTTAAATAATGAGACACCATTAATGAATGAAAATACAACCTGAACTCACTTGATTTTTCTAAATGGGCACCAGTACAGTTTCATTATTTATGCATATGATGCCATTCAGGGCATATAATGTGCCAGGAAGTAAAGATACTTAACAGCTATTTAAAGAATAAAGCTTTGAGAAACATTTGGCAAGTTAATTTTTAAAGGACCATTGACCATGACATCCATCTGCATTTGCAATTTTTGCACCTGCAATTATTTGCATGCAAAAAAATTGCAGCCACAGTTGTCTAATTGTAGGCACAACCATCCAAATTTGCCCTCAAAAGGAGATTAACACAAAAGGGATACCATCTGTGATAGTTCAACAAACCCCTCAGACCTCTATGGCTTCAAAACCTGAGAGGCTGGTGGGCATCTTTCCCTCTTGGCTCAGGGTTTAGACTTCACTCCTGCTTGATCTCATTCAAGCATTCCAGTCCAGTCTGATTATTTGGAAAGCAACAGTCCAATCCTTTCATCCAGCCAATCTGCCTTCTCACACAGCTATTTTAAAAAACGGGAGTGGGGGGGGGCTTTTCTAAATCTCCCACTCTTCCTTCAGGAGCCAAAGAGTAATAGGAGCAAATTATTTTGTCTTCTTCTATAGGGTGAACAGGTTCAGTTTCTAATTCACTTCAATATTTCAAAAAAGCAATTCACTAAATGTATATGTGCAAATGTATATGTAAATATGTGTGTATTATATGTATCTACATACACACATATATATAAATGTATGTATATACACATGTATATATGTGTATGTGTATGCATATGTGTGTGCATGTGTTTGTATGTACATATATAGGTATATGTATGTGCGTATTGCATCTGTGTATAATCTTCAGCAAACTGGAATTGTCTATAAAGATGAAACCTTCTGCTCAAAGGTGTCATGAAAATCATTGTTTTACTTTTTAAGTTCTAGCCCTTTGTTTGAAATATATGTATACATGTATATATGTATATATGTGTGTGTATGTGTCTATGTAATATCACCTGCCACTTTTGATCAAATGTCTTCATTTATGTTCCTTTTATAATATCAAAGCCAGTCAAGACATATAATCATTGTCCTCTGGCAGATGATGTTTTATAAAAAGTCATAATCCCCTGCTTGTAATACAATCACTACTACAATAAATAATTATAGAACCATAGAAGGACAGTTGCGATTTCAGATGGGGAATATATAATAGCAGATGAAAAATATAAAAGCCAGATTATCCCTTGACAAAGATGCTGTTTTCATACAAATGTCAGTAACAATAAATGTGAGGAGAACATAGTCCATTTTATGAAGACAAAATTGAATCAACATAGAACATTTTTTTCAAAGGTTTTGACAAGTTGATTTTTTTTAAGGCATATAACACAGTCAAAGCTGATATGTACTATAATTGCAACGAAATTCAGGGACTACTTTAAGAATGGAAAAAATAAGACAAGTTATGAGGCCAGCCACTGAAACCCTGTGAGTCCTATGTAAGGATGGGAAGTCATCAGTAAGGTTCCCTTTCTGTGAGATCTGAAATGCTTTCACAATTTTGTAATGAACTAGACAGTCAAGAAGCATTTATTAAAAGCTAAACATGTTAGGCACTATGCTAAGCTCTTGGAATACAAAGAATGGCAAAAACATGATCCTACCATCATAAAGCTTCCATTCTGGTTGTTTTGTTTTATGAATAAAAGTCTAGGAACAAGTTTTCAGTTTAACATAAATAGTAATTGCAATATTATTTAAAGGGAGACATTTTCATTCACTACCCTCATATTTCTCACTTGTACAACCCTGACAAGAAGTTGAAGTCATGTACTTCAGTAATAAACAGTGGGATAGGAAACAGATGAAGGAAGAGATTTGGCCTCTGTAAGAAGTAATTATATGTAGGTAAAGAGAAAGGAGGGAGGACGGGAGGGAGAAAGTATTCACGAATATGAAGAAGCAAGCAGCAAGCAGCAACCGTGGTTCTGAAAGGGGCCAGTAGGGCAGAAAAGAGTGGAAATAACAGTTCAAATGCATAATATGGGAAGGTCATTTTGTGCTTCCTACCTATAAGTTTCTCAAAGAACATTTAAAATATATATCTTTTTCAGGTACAATGAATAATTGTAGGTTTTAACTGTTTTATGTTGCAAAAAAAAATTCTGATAAAGAAGAAAAGATGATAATACTTACATCCTGAGCTACCATTGGTTGAAACCAGTGTAAAATTAGAAGGCCATGGGTTGCGAACAATATCTTGCCAATGAATGGTGTCTGCATAACAGAGGAATTTGTTCTGGTCAACATATACTCCTCCATTTAAGATTTCTGTAGAAATGAAAAACAAGGATTTTATATTAATTTATTGAATTGGGGGAGAAGATTGTGGAATTACTATGGCATGGCTGACACCAGTACAAAGCTGATATAATCATACAGTACTCATTATATTAAATGAAAACAGCATAATTACTATTAAATGCAAAACTTCAAAGGCCCAGGAGCTTGTAATCATTGGAAAACTAAAAAAAATCTATTTAATCACAGAATAGTTAAACGACTTTTGATAATTTCATCAGGTGGAGTCAATGGATTCACCAGCTTTTTCTAACAGGAATAGGAAGAAAAATGCATTAAACCTCCATTATGACATAGTTCATTCATTGTGTTTGGATTCAGATCTACTAAGGGCCAAATGGCCTAGATACAGGGGTGGGGAATCTGCGGCCTCAAGACCATGTGGTCTTCTAGGTCCTCAAGTGTAGCCCTTTGACTGAATCCAAACTTCACAGAACAAATCCCCTTAATAAAAGGATTTGTCTGTAAAATCTGGACTCAGTCAAAAGGCCTCACCTGAGAACCTAGAAGGCCATATGTGACCTCAAGGCTGCAGGTTCCCCACCCCTGGAGAACCTAACAGCTCATATGGCAAAAGTCTACCTTGCTTGGCTTTGATAAACAATACTGTGGGCACTGCTTATAAAAGCTCTGTATTTATCAATGATAATTATTTCAAAGATCAGGTAACCTCTCTTTACTCTTTTCTGAACACTAGCAACATATATCCTCTATTTTCTCGAAATGAAATGTATCCTAATTCATATAATACAAACAGAAGAATATTGGCAAAAAAAAAGATCAGAAGTAATGCATACATTAGTTGTGTGACCTTGGGGAAGTCACTTTTCCTCAAATTCCTTGTCCGTAAAATGGGGGTAAATAATAATTCTACCGTCTACTTCATAAGGCTGGCAGAGGGAAGGTACTTTCTAGTATTCTAAGTAAACATGGACTGCTGGTAGTGTTAACTTTACAATTTGAAAACTGTATTTTACTTTACACTTAATTTCATTTTAATCTCATTTTCTAACACAAAAACACTTTGCATAACATTGGTTATCCTTAAAGAATAGGAAAAAAATGAATTTTTAAAGAAAGTCAATTGAAGAGGATGCTGGAATGTATGTAGAGAACACTTTTCAAACCAACATATGAATGATACATAAGTAGTTATCCATCTAATATGAATGGAAGGATATCCCAAAGGAAAATCTGCCTCAAAATTAGAATCAAGGGGATGGGGTTGGTACAGGTTTTGTTTTTTTATAATCTGTGCGACCTTGGATAAGTTTTCTTTTCCCTTTATGCAAAACTCATGTCTAAAATATCTGTTAGAAACAAACCTTTTTCTCTAAACATATCATCTGTCAGAATGCAAATACTGCTGAATAGGTCATCTGATTAAACACTAGTAACTTTGTGAGGATGAGTTTACTAAATAGCTTTTCTCCCTAACCTGAAGGATTTGGGGTAGCACTGCTTCTGGGGTTGTCAGAAACTGTGAAAATAGAAGGACATAGCTCTACCTAGGATATCTCAGAGCTCTAAAATATACATGTCCCTGGAGAATTTGTATTCCTTAAACGTGTAGCAACAGCTGAGCTTTGCATCAATTAGTAAGAATCATTAATAAAGTAAGAAGTCACCAGAGGCAGAATAGCTACATCTCCAAGTAAACTCTGCCACATACCCCAAATACTATATATCCCTACACACGCTCCCTTGTTTCTCATTTTTGTAAAAGGCTACCCTTGGCTGAACCAATGTTATCCTTTATGGCAATGGCAAATTCTCCTCCAAATAGTTTCCAGTCGTATAGTTATCTTGTCACCCACAAACACATTTAAGGTTGCTAGGGGTGTATTCTCTGAGCATATAGGTCAAAGAGATGCATATTATCATGATAATAAGAGCCTGTATTTACATATACTTTAAAGGTTTACAAAATTTTACATGTTATCTTATCTGATCCCCAACAACCATATGCTATCATTTCCATTTTATAGAAACAGAATCTGAGGATGGGAAAGATTAAACAATTTGTTAAAGTTTATATAGCTAGCAAGTATGTGAGGCAGGATTTGAACTCAGGCCTTCACACCCACAGGAAGCATACACAGTAAAGAGCACATTGAAGTTTGGTGTCAGATAACCTGGGTTTGAATCCTAGCTTTTCCACTACATTACCTGCGTGACGCCTTAGACCTCAATACCCTTATGTGTAAAATTAGAGTATTAGACCAGATAGCCTGAGAGATCCCTTCCCTTCCAAGATTTGGGACTTAGAAAACTATGACTTAGTTTTTCAAAGTATAAATTTCCACAAATCTTTCCAGGGACTGGATTCTTTTTCTCAAATGGTCATTGGAGAGGGTATAGGTATAGGACTTTGATATTTTGACTTACAAGTTAGAACCTCATCCTTTTCACCCCACGACTTTAACCACAAAATCTTTATTGAAGTTCAAGGGAGATGCAAGAGAGGTTTTGGAAATGGATCCTTACATCAATATTCCAGACTCAATTTTGATATAAGAATTGCAAAGGTTCACATAAGCCATCTTGGGATACTCTCTTACTCTGAAAAAAAATCACTCCTCATTATGAAGAAAAATGAAAATTTTGACTACTCTGAATAAAATGAAGGTTGATTTTTTTTCTTTTTTGGGCTATATGTCAAAGTAGTTCCCTCCCTCTACATTATGTGAAGGAAAAAAGTTTTGTGCTGTAGCACCTAATGTTAATAAAAGTCACAATCATAATCAATAACAGAGTAAGTATATGAATAATTTGAAGATGAATATGTATTAAAAATAAAAGTAGATACGGCAGAAAGAAATCATTGTTTATGGTATTGTCTCCAACTGTCTATCTAAAAGTGATTAAAATCAGATTATATTTGTATGAAATAACCTTACAAAAGCTCTTCAGCTCCAGGCCTATGAATCAGGCTAGGAATGACACTTACCTCCTGGAAATAGGTGATTGAAAAGCTTGACTTTTACATTTAAAGAGCTTAAAAATTACATAATAACAGAGTATAATCTTAGTTGATAAAAATTTAAATGAAGAACACAATAGTGCTATTTTTATGATGCCCAGAATACTAAACCTAGCATCTGGTAGCAATTCTGATCTGGGAGATATATAATCTTTTGCGCTTAACAATGGACAATTCATGATTATTTTTTGTTTATTTGTTTTCTTTTTTTCCCCTTTGTCTCTCTCCTACAGACTGGCTCTTCTAATCTGTATGTGGATTACAGCCAATCTACTAAAAAAAAAACAACCTGATGGTATGAAAATGTACATTCTGTTTAATGTTATAGTGGAGTTGCCAAGTGTTCATTGTGTTCTTTCAATCAACTTGTACTTCTGAGCATCTGCCAAAGGAATTTTTTTATTGCATTCATTAATTTACTTTCGACAATGGTCAACATGAATTTTAATTACCAATGAAAGACCCAGTTTTGTTTTGTTTTTTAATCTATTGAAAACATTTTGACAGGGAGTAGAGATACCTGTCTCTCACCTTTACAGCATGCACAAATATTCTCTGACTTTCTTGTCCATTTTTTTAGTGGTGAAGAAAAGGGCTTTTTAGAAACTTCCAAGCTGAAACTGAGAGTGTATACAAAACGTCACAATGGACAAATTTAGTTTCTTTCCTTTTTTTTTTTCTGGCCATGAGGTATAAGGATAACGTTATACTTTGGAATATCAGTGGGGTAGGTCTCCTTTTCCCCCAAGGTAAGCCCATTTCTGGAATGGGGCTACCTCCTGTTTGTCTTCTTTCCTTTTGTATAGGGCCTTCTGAGACCTTAAAAGTTCCTAAAACTGGAGGCAACAGCAGCATGAGCTGGCAGCTGAGACAATGAGAAACACAAAGTTTTCCTTATACTTTGTGGCCAGAAAGGAGGAAAGAGGAAATTAACTTTTCTTTTGGGGCTTCTTGTATGCACTCTTAGTTCCAATTCAGCAACCAACCAAATATTTTCTTCCCTACTCTGTAAGTTCTTAAAATGCAGTCAGAAAATACCTGTGCTTGTCCTGAAGTACAGAACCAGATACTTCCATTCCTTGTCAAAGCAATTTTAGAGAAGCTGACTCACCAAACGTTCATGTGGGCCCCTTGCATGTTCTCCCAAGAATAGGATCTCACTGGCCAGTGCCCTATTTTATATGTCACCACAGCTTGTTTTATACATGCCCAGCTCACATAACTTGGAGGTTCCCTGCTTCTTGGAGAAGACAATGGGTGGAAGTAGGCTCCAAAGATTGCCCATATAGATAGAAAAGGTGGCATTTTCAAAACTGCCAGAATGGGGGGGCAGCTAGGTAATGCAGTGGATAGAGCACTGGCCCTAAAGTCAGGAATTGAACTGAGTCCAAATCTAATTTCAGACCAAACACTTGACACTTACTAGCTGTGTGACCTTGGGCAAGTCACTTAACCCCAATTGCCTAAAACAACAACAACACTGCCAGAATGGGAAAATCTCACCCTTTTTACTGCTCATTCCCATTTAGCCCATAAGGGTGAAGGTCCAAGTTTACCCAAAGTATGGGTTCCATGAACTGAACAGGTGAAGAAGGAAGGGCCAGCTTCTTCCACTCTCCTTTTAGATCCTGTGGCCCAAGAAATGGGCCTATGGTTTTTGTTGGTTTGTTTGTTTTTGTCTGTCTTTTTTCAGTTCCAAGAACCTAGTGATGGCAACCTAGGAGCCAGGATCACAGACTTCCACATTCAGTGGAAGCAGAAGAAGCCCGGGTCCCTGGGACTTGAGACCACGGAAGGGTTTAGGGTGTGGTGTTTAGATTCGGAATTTCGGACTGTGATCTATAGGAATTGGGCTAAGTGAATCTAATCTCCTTCCCCTCCCCAGAGTATGAGGTGGTACAAAGGGGAATTATGAAGCATATGTTGGGAAGCATGTTTATGTATTTGTTTTTATGACTTTTAAATAACTAATCCTTTATGAAAGCTA